GGAACTGATACTGTTGTGTAGGAGGAACTGTCTGCTATGTCAAGTCAATGGGATTTGGGGGAAGCTCTGCATTAGGCTGCAGCAGTAGAAATGCCATCCTGGAAAATACCAATTCCCCACAGCAGGTAGGGTTGGAAACTACTGTACTGACCTGCATAAATGTGTTGAAAAATGACCTGACAAAAACCTACAGGAGACTCTGGAGCAAATTAGATCTACAGATCTCAGCCTTAGAGGCTTCTGAACTTGGACTGAACCTGGGCTGAAGTTAACTCTGCATTCAATTACAGGATCTAATAATGTTTGCAGGGAATATGTGACTGAACAGGAAAAGGGTCTCTGTGTATTGTGGAAACTTGCTAGCTCATACTCTTCAACTGGACATTCAAATCACTACTTCATTCATTTCCTCACTCATTTGCTCTCCTCTGCCCTGATTTTGTGGCTTGCTTCCCCTTTCCCCCATGTGGGATTTTAGTTGAGTTACTGCAAGTGACCCAGTAAACACAAGAAAGAGACTTTTAATAATGCTGTTTCAGAAACATAAAGAAAGAAGAATTGTAATGTGGGTAAATAGAAGCTTTCTCCTGGATTTTCCTTTAGGAAAATAATTGCGTGCTCTCAGCTAACAGTTTGTTGCTACACAAATCAGCTGGGGTACTAGAATGAGTAGGATCCAGTGGTATGAGTAAGCAGTAGGAGGTGAAGAATTTTACTGGGGGAAGGAAAGAAGCCATTTCCAGTCTCTTCAGTTAGATGTGCAAGGGAAGGAGTAGCCTTGAACAATGATAAATGAGGTAACTTTTAGGCAGTTGAGCGAAAGCCAGGACTATAAACAGAAGTCAACTGGCAGATTACAAACTAGTTGTGCTAGTGAGAATGCATATATTTTCCTTGGCTTTTTGATGGTTTTGTGCATCATTCATGGGACAAGAAGTAAAGTGTAGATCCACAGCTGAATTGCAGCCAGTTCTGTGCCACATGTTCAGCTGACACCAGCTTCCATGGTTAAGGAGAAGGCAGAGATTGGTGATACCTGTCTGGGACAGTGCACCTCTGATGCTGTAATAAAGACTTAACCTGTGTGTGTCTAACTCAATTCTCTATATGCTGGATAGGTTTACTGGTGTTTAGAAAAGATTTCTGATGTGAGACTTGCTGATTATACAATTGAATAGTAGAGCTATTAGGATGTGGAGACATTCTTAGAAATGTAATTTGCAGTGGATGATCTCCTAATTGCAAGACAAGTTTTTTCCAGAAATAGTGGAACTACTGAAGACTTATTTCTTAGTCAGGTGTGTTCTTTATCTTTTCTACTGCCTCTCCATATTTTCTGTAAAATCCTCAGAGGGCAACAGTGGTACCTGCTCTGTAGTATGCCCGAGTCAGCTGGCGACTGGCAGTTGCAATGTATGGTGGATACTTTTCCTTCAGAGAGAGCAGTATTTTAGGTCTGTTACTGTTTATGTACCCATTGATTTTTTGTTGTTGTTTGTTTTTCATACTTACAGTTATTTCCTGTAGCACCTTCTTAGATTGCAAGTCTGTGTGTCTCACAAACTAGAAATCCAGAGTTATTTCACTTCTCGGGAGGCTGTGTAGATGGTCACACTAGCCTCCCTGCTAACAGAGGGTGAAATTAGTTTGCAAAACAAATTACTAACTATTTTGTTCTGTAATTTATTGCTCAAATTATGTTTCTATATAAATACAATGCATGTTACTGACCTTTATTACTTTGTTCACTAAGACGCGTTTTGCTCTGAGCTAATTGAGTAGCTCACCTCTTCTTTGCCAGTGTTCTCTTTCTCCCTGAATCGGTCCATTTTTCAATGAGGCTCTCTGTTGCCAATGTGAGTTCAAGAGATGCTAGTACCAACTGTACATTTATTAAAATGGAATAAGAAAATGCTTCAGAAATAATTTGGCCGACCAGTCATTGTGCCTGCTTTTTATCATGAAATTCTGTTGCTGTTACAAAGGCAGAACTTGCATTGTTGAGGCTCCAAAGTCTATCTAGTGAAAATATGCAGTCTGCCTCCTGAAGAGCAGGTGTAACAGAAACTGTCTTTTATGTTTACAGAACTTGTTAAAGTCTATGAGCTAAGGGATGGCAAGTGGGTATTTCCATATATAAAATAAGTGGTTTCCTGTAGGAAAATTGTAAAAAATGCACAAGTACATTTCTTAGCTGAGTAAACATAAATGCATAAGTATCCTGGTGGGATGAGGGTCTTAAAAGGCAAACTTAACCCATACAAGAAAAGGGTTTCTTATTCTGGGCTTAGTGTTTCTGTTCTGTTGACAACTAAGATGTCTTTCTTCTCTCTGTACACTCAAGACTTGCCTTCACCAAAGTTTAGTTTCATTCCAGATGAAACTCCTAGTTATTCTGTTTTCTTGATATGTTTCTAATGCTACACATGACTCACCACCATCAGCCGCTTCTTATAGCTGTGTGTTAAGAAATGTACATGAAGTGCAGTAGATTGTCTTGTTCTGTTTCTCCTTCTGTGTTTGTATTTGGCTTTAGTTTTGGGCCCCTTTTTGTTATTTCTGGAGAGAGCAAATGGCTTGTAGTACTAATGGGCTAGGTACTGTGGGATGACTACCCACTTACCATTAGAGAGGCTTAGAGATAGCTGCATGAGTTACTTCAAATTTTGTCTTGCTGATGACAATTCAAAAGGGGTAAAAAAAGCAAAAGCTTTGTAATTTACAGTTACAGACTAAAATGAACACCCCTCTTCTGAATGCTTTATCTCCTTCTGCCTTTATAATCTTCCTACACCTGTCTCCCCTCTGCTGTGCTGTCTTTGCCCATCTTGACCTGGTTCAATGTCCAATTCCTTGCTTCAGAGCTCTCTCTTCCCTTGCCCTTCAAGAGACTTGAAGCTTCCAGCTGGAGGGCACGTCCAGCTTTGGACAGACTCTTTGATGGTAAAATTCATATGTTGTAAGAAGTTTAAAATTTGTTACTTTGATTAATCTAGTAGATGATTATTAGTTATGATAAAGACAGGCTAGAAAGACAAGCAACTCTCCAGAGGGACCTTATAGTACAGCAGTGTGCTACTGTGTCTGCCAAGCCTTGATGTTTATGTCTGAGTTTTGAACTCAACAGGTACAGCTCATCAGTAGCAACAGTTTGTAAAGCACCCCACAGCTCAGTGCTGGCCTGGCTTTCAGCACTGCTTATTTGTCATTGCTTAATGCTGATTTTTTTATGCTGACCAACAGAAGCAGATAGTTGAAAACAGATATTAGTTCAGCTAAGTACTTTGGGACTTCAGCCTTAGAGGAGGTTTCTGGTAAATCCATGTTACCTGTACTGAAGTAGAAAATGTCCTGACTGATGTTATGGGCTCTTATGCTCTGTGAGAAAGCTCCTGATTTGGTGGCTCATAGATAGGCAGTTTTGAGAAACAAAGTGGGCAAAATCTTGAAGCTACTTCCTCAGAAGCTTGCCAGCAGTATTTACTAGGAGGCAACATAAGCAGCAGGTTGGGTTCATGTGAGACTTTAACTGTTGTTTCAGCTGGTTCAAAGTGATGGGTTGGGGAAACTGCTGATTTAGAGGAGATAGGACTGGAGATAGGACTGAATGGAGAAGTAACTTCTCCAGGCAAAAGTTTCTCAAAGCTAGGAACTAATTGATGAGGCAGATGGACCATCCATAGTAGTTAACAGGAACTGATTACTGTGGAAGAACTTTCTACCCAATAAAGTATTCAAAATATTAAATTTCATGGTAGAAATTAAGGTTGTCTTTATTAGCTGTTTTTATTATTGTTTTAGTATTGTAGAAATGGTAACAATTGCTCAGGTTAGACATGATCTTTGAAATAATCCCATTGTTTTCTAGGGATATTCAGAGTTACTAATGAAGTACAACCTTTTGGAAATACAGGAAGGGCTTTGCAGTGTGGATCCTTTTTGCTTGTTTGGTCAGGGTGAGCAGCCACCTCAGTCTGGGATGAGATCTCAGTGCTTTCAGTGTGAATGTCTTCCTGAATCTTACCAACCCAGGTAAAGCGGATTGTGAATGATAGCAAGCAAGAAGCCCTAGGGATTCTGTTTGACTACTTGGTATTGAAATGCAACATCTGGAAGTTTTTAGAAGTCTGACTGCAGAATTTGATGTGGTTGGCGATTTGATTTCCCTTTGACCAAGATATGGGCAGAGATGGAAGGAACAGGTTTAGTGAGGGCTGCTGTCCAAAGGTCTTGCAGGATCTACTTTCCTGGAAATACCTGTTAAATCTTCATGAAGACTTGAGATGGCTGAAAAGATATTTGAATCTTTTTATAAGGTCCCTACTATATCTGACTGAGTTTGTTAGTGTTCCAGCTGTACAGACTAACTTCTGTCTTTTTCAAGATTGTGGCATTTCATGGTGGGAAAAGCAGGTGAATTGTATTGATCTACCTCCTAGCATTATGCAGCTAAGTTTGTGGCATGAATACATAAAATGGAGCTTGCATGCTTGCCAATATTTGACATATGAAAGTTTTCTAAGGATTATTAGAGGTTTGATGGGTATCTCCTGTGCCTGCTTTTTGTCTCCAAATAGCAGAAGGTGGCATATGACTGTGATGCACACAGAGCAGGGCAGATGAGTAAGAAGATGCTATTTTTACTCAATTGCTTTTTAGAATAGAGCAATTGTTATTGCATGTAACTCAAGTACTTGCCAAATATGCTCTAATGTAGCCTTAATTGGTCTGCTTAAAATTTTAAGCAGCCAGCAGTATTCCCACTGAAACAAGTAGTTATGAAACATTGACATGGTAGGCAGTGGAGAGCACAGAGGCAGCAACTGATCATAGATTTGATCTGCTAAGCCTTGAGCCTACAGATGGAGAGACAAAGACTTTCCATCTGCCCACGCAGGACTTTGGATATGTCAGGGCTGTGTTTTGAAGGGTGCCTTTGGGCTTTTCTAAAAACAGGATTCACACAGTACCCTCTAGTAAAATGCAAGGCTTGCCCCCAGATGCCAGTAACATACCATGGCATTTGGAGACTTTTGTGTACCATCAAGCATGCTCAGACAAACTGTCTCTTGACTGCCTGCCATCCAGGAGGTAAGTGTGTATGGAAGGAGGGTAGTCAGGGGAGCCTTCACCATGGCCTGAGAGCTGTCCTTTTGAACTGCATACACATGCTGTAAGGGACCTGCGTGGGCACAGAGCTCGGCTCACATGTACCAGCGTCTGCAGGGCAACAAATTATCTTGCTCTGTAAAGGACTTGGCTTTGTGTTCTAGCATGTGGAAAAAATGCACTGTGCATTTTTTTTTCCTTCCCTAGTTTTTTAGGACAGATGTGGCAATTTTTCCATTTTGGGTGCTCCGCTTACTATTTTCTCACAGAGTTTTTGACTCTCATAACTTGGCACGTCTCAGCAGCCTTTAAAGTTCTGGAAAAGTGAATATTTTCCTGTAGATTCAGCTCTACTGTTGAGCAAGGAGTACAAGAGCACTTAAGTACTTTTGTTTTAAATAGTAGTTGGCTTCATAAATGTAATCTGTGGATCTGTGTTATTGTCTGCCAGCATAATTTGTCATGTGCTTGTTGCTGTGGAGTCAGGACTGTACAGAACATCCATCCTCCCACCCCAAAAGAATACAAGTTCCCACCACAGAAAGCTTTCAATCCAAATGAAGTGACAGTTGTTGGAGAGCATGAGGGGAGGCACAGCATTGATCAGCTGTTAGGTGGGGCTTTCATCAGGGAAAGGAGAATTTAAGTGCTCTGAAACTGGATGAAGAGTTGTGTTACTGAGACACATGGATGATATATGAATATTGAGATTGTATGAAAGAATATTGGAAGAGGTTCTGTTTAAAAATCTAATTATACTGGTGGTATTAGGCTGATAACGGCTAATTTGGAGGTGGAGTTTGGTGTCTTGATGGACTTCTGGAGTCTGAGAATGATAAGGTGGATTTAATTTGGTAGAGTGAAGGTGTGCTGAGACAGTAGGGATACTGTCACCGCAGTGGTGTGGGAAAATGGTCTGAATGCAGGGGGTGGGGTGAGCTATCATTAGCTAATACCAGGGTAATGAGAGTAAGAGCCTGGATGAGTATTTTAGCCAGAAACTATTTTGTCTGTAGATAAAATATTTTCTAGACAAATGCCATTAAATCCTGAAAGTGATTTAAGAGGAGTCAGCCTTAGCTTACTGGTCAGAGCAGTTGGGTTGTGATAAAGTTAGTGATTTGTGATTCTTCTGTAAGAGCTGCTTAGACTCAGTTCTTTGGACATTAACCTTGGGTGCTGTTAGCCCTCCAGCCCCTTTAATTTTGCATAGTCATTCCTGAGTTAAGAGCTTGGTCTTATCTAGATAGCAGTATGTTAGGTTGCTGATTTAAGAAGATGGTGTGTTATTACTGACCAAGTCTTAACTTCTTTCCCTGGTTTTAATGAATCTTGAAAGAGAGCAATTATTTGTATTGTTTATATTGACACTTTAAAGGAGGCAAGAGCTCTACCTCTGTCTACCATGAAAATGGAAATATGTAATTCTGGATGGTAACAGGAAATAAAAGATCCATCCAGGTCCATGTTCTTCCCTTCTTACCCTCTGTGTAGCTGAGGATTGGAGGCAGCACTAGGGAAAAACAAATAGAGCTGGCTACCTGAAGATGGTTCAGAGAGATTAGCTTTGCCAAGTGACTGAGACACTTATCCTCACCTCTGCTTTTTAACTCCTATCCTTCAGTCTGCCTTCTTCACATGCTGGGACTTTTGCTCTACATGGTCTTTCTTGAGGAATGGTTTCAGTCCAGATGTATGGTAAGCCAAGACTGATGGGAGTGAAGAAGAGATTAACTCTTCCCGTCTCTATCTACCCCTAGGAAATAAAGTTGTTGCCTTCCCTACCAGTATCAGTGACTTCGGAAAAGTCTTTCTTAAGGCAGCCTGTTTTTCTTTTAACCAGTCACTTTTCAATAAAAAGGTAGTGTGCATGTATATGATCACAAGCAGCCTCTCTCTATATATAAAGCATTGCTGAAACAGCACTAACATTCATTACTTCTGAGAGAATGATGGGCTAAGAGTCAACCAGCATCTTGTCATGTGATTTATTTCTTTTTTAAGGTGTCCAGGTGATGCTTATGCTATCATGTTGTCAGAAATCTGGATCATTTGCTCCCTGTAATGCATGTTAAATCAATTCTGTAACCCAGAAGGCTTTCCTTTTCCATCCCCTACCAACCTCCTCCCTAATCTGTATTGTTTGAGGGCACTGGGAAGGGAGGAGTTGCAATCCACAGGAAACTTGCTGCTGGTAGTGTTCTTTCAGGCAGTGTTAAGTCCCACTGTGCTTTGTGATTCCTTTGTGTTAAACCCTGGAAGGGGTTTGATATCCAAAACCTGCCTGTTTCTAAAAGCTGCTGAGGTGTTAGTGTTTCAAAGATGTATGCAGGAGTTTTCCTGTTCATCCAGGCAAGATCCTTGCAGAAGATAGAGGGATTTTTATGTACCGCATTCCATAGCAGTCATTCACTCCTAATTCTGGCCTCTGCTGGAGCAGGATTTTCTGGGAGTATTTTTCAGGTCAGTTAGGATAGCTCCCATTTTTTGTGAAAGAGGAAATTAGTTTGGCTACTAACAGAATGGTTTCCATCCTCTTTGGACTGTGAAAAATTCTGTCTTGGTGGATCACATTCATCTTTTCTGTGGTTTGACAGATAAGCAAAGTAGTTGATAGCAATTACTTGTTTCTCTCAGGTAGTTAAACATCTAGATGATCTAGAAAGGAGAATTTTTTTGTATCTTAAGAAACATACTGTAAATATAAACCACAAAATAATATATCTTTGAAACCTCCCATGGGAGCCTAAGAGCCTCAGAAACTCCCTTCACCATAACAGCTCAGCAGGTTCTGGACACCTCCCCATAATGGCAGTGCAGCCAGAGCAGATGAAGCCTGCTAGCTTCACTGCAGAAGTAAAAAGTATTTTACATTCTCTCTGACACAGAAAGAGGTCTTGCAAGGGAAGAAACTCAAGAAGCAACTGTTTTCAAGTTCAGATTCATTGCAGTCTTGCGGCCATGACAAAACCAAAATCCAGAAAGGGGTAGGTATAGAGAGTGAAGAATTGACTGTTTGGTGAGGGACCTCTGTTTCTTTTGTGTATTTGTAAAAGAAGACCAGGACTAATCCCCTACAGCTACTCACAGTGAGACTGGAATTTAGTTCCTTTCCTGTTTTTAATTTCATTTAGTAGTTTCCCATGGGCCAGATATATTTTTCTATTCTTCTGTACAAAGCGGCTGCAATTTGTAATAAAACGTAATTCTTTGCCGCTTTCCATCACTCAGTGTTGTTAATGAATTACCCTTAATAATGTTACTTTGACTTGAAGTTGGGTGTTACCCTCACTAGCTTGCAGTTGTAGATATTGTAGTACTTGGACAGATCACTTATCTTTCACAAATATTTGAATGTTTTTGGAAATTTCAAGGAGAAAAGGCCAACTTTTTGGCCTTAGCTTAAATTCTGCACCAAGGAATTACTGTAATTTAGGCTCAAGTTTTCAGTTAAGACTCTGGGATTTCATTTGAATGGATTTTCATAAGGTGCTGTAGTTGAGGGCCCCTTTGTCTTCTCTGGCTGCTTGAGCACATTTCCCATGAGAGGCTTTCAAGGGCTGATCAGTAGGTGGTAGAAATGGGCAGTTCTTATTCCTTCCCTTGCTCCTCACCCTTTGCTGCTAAGACAAGCAGGAGTAAAAGCTTTTGTTTTGGCTTGACATCATGTTTTGGGTTTCTGTTCACATCCATCAAACATTACACCACAGTATCTGAGTGGAGTTCTTTTGCATACAGGGGTAATTGAGACCATTAGTTAGGAGTAGTGCTAAAAATAGTACAACTACCCAGGAATATGAATGTGAAAATCAGATAATCACATGAAGGGGAAGTTGCCTTAGGATTCACACATCTTAAAATTGCTATGTGTGCCAAGAAGGTTGTTAAGGATGTTCTCTCTGTAAATGCTGGAACTGTGGAATTTCAGACAGAAAACAATTAAATGACTACTGTAGTTTTAACTATGCATTTCTGTGGTATGGTTTGCGTTTGTTTTATTTTGTCTTCCGGCTGCTTTCCTTATTTTGCTGTCGTTAGTCCACACCTCATTATATGCTCCTAGGGAGTACACCCTGCTTGCTTGTTAGGATGGTGTAGGTGGTAATTTGCAGTGGTGCAAAGTGCTGAAGAAGAGAGAATCAGCTAGGTAAGTCATTACACTCTGCAGAGACTGACTCACTGACTTGCTGTGCACAGCTTACTTATCCCACATTTTTTAAGACCTAGAATGTTACAGTAGTTGAAAACTTAATAGAAAAACATTAACATGCTTGCCTAGAAAAAAGATATGACTGAATGATGAATATAGGTGATATATTGTCCTACCTTAGTAAAAGCTCTTAAGTTTTACCCGATAAAATTTAACCAAGTTTAACCCTCATCTTGGATACTGTAGTGAATTCAGTAGAACACAGTTCAACACAATAACCTGCACTAAACAGCCTTACACAGTGCTGCACTGCCTCTCATTTCCTTTCTCAAATATCTCACCCTGAACCCATGTCAGGGTACAGCAGTTCTTTTGCCATGGTCTGAAGTAGCTCGGGTTACCATGTGACAGTTCTTAGTTTCTGATGTGTTTATACAATTGGGTTCTTCTTTCTTAAGCAGTATTTTCTCTTTCTTATATTTTTTTGCAGCTATCCATTGCAATCTGAATCCAAATGGTATTGATCATCCTGTGCCTGCAGAAGGTATTAATCTGCAACTTGAAGGTGAAGGAGTTGAATCGCCCTCTCTTAAGAACACTAGTACTTCAAAAGGGCCTGAGGCAAAAGAGACACCCAAGAGACAGCAAGTGGAACCAGAAATATCTAAGGTAGGTAGGACTGGGTTATTTTCTTGGTGAGTCTTAGAGTCCAGGCTTCTTGAAATCCTGGCTTCTGTTTAAAAAACATTTGTTTTCTTCTTGCATACAAAGATGCAAAAGTAGCTGTCTGAGGTAGTGGTAGTTACAGGAGCAAGGTATTGCCATAGAGTTTTATACCACACACATCTTAGGCATTGCACTATTTTATTTTTTTCTAGATAAAGATAATGAAAATAATGCATTTTCTCTTTTTCAGGCACTGTGGAGATTTTTTTTTTTTTTTCCCAAATGACTTGTGTAACAAACAGAATCTGAATATATATGCTTTTGTTGTATGTTTTTTGTTTGCTTGTTTATTTTTTTCCTGAGGCAGGTAAAGGAAGAGAAAGGTTCTATGGATATATGAATATAGCGATTTTTGTATGGGTGACTGAGTTCAATAAACTATTAACTGATTTTAGGTAAAATACCATGTCAGTTCTTCTGTATGCCAGTAAACAAACACTTCAGAGGTATTTTATTTATTTTTTTTAAGGGCCAAAAAAGGCAGTAACAATTAACTCGATGACTGAACAAATAAGAGTATTTCCTACTGTCATCACTACAATAAATCTAAGAAATAATACAATTGTGATGTATTTTACTTTTAGAATAAAATAGCATTAAACTGGTTGAACAGTAGTGTGGATAATTAAGAGTATGTATGAGCTCTTCGTTCTGATGTTTATCTAAAATATCTAGTTTTAAATGAGTACGATTTACACTGATTTCATTCTGTCTTAAGTCATTTGAACTAGATCCAGTATAAGCTGACATTGATCAAAATCACTGCTTACTTTTTCTGTTGTGTGGACAGTTGCCAAGCAGGATGATGATTTCTCTTGAACCTTTGAAGAACAAGTTTGTGCTTATTGCTTTGAATCATGCATTTGGTAACAAGACCACCATATTTTGGATGGGCTTTGAGTGAAAGCTTATCTAAGAATGCATTTGACCCAGCTTTTGTCAGACAGGGGCAAGCTAAGCCTGCCCATGTTTCAACATCACCAGATGAAAATCTGCTCAGTACTTTAAGCTAAATAAGCATGTGAAGCTGAGAGGAGATCTTACAAGCTTGGACGTGAAGCTAAATGATGCAATGGGGCTTCCAGTTGAGAATGGGCTCACGTAGTTGACATGGAACGCAGGCAGATCAGGCTTGTCTTTACTTGCAAAAGACTCATACTAGTGGAAAATCAGGATAAAATACATCAGTGACTTAATGTAATGGAGCCTGTTTCCACTGGCTGAGTTGTACTTGTTGGACTGATGAATAGAAAACCATTTTCAAGGCTGTCCCTGCTGGAGAGAGCTGGGGAAGAGGGGATGTGTAGTGCTCTCAAAGTAGTGAAATCAACTATTGGTTTCCTATTTCTGATTGCAGTAGCTTTATTTAGAAAGTTAGGCACACTTCAGATTTAAAAACGAAGCGAACACCAAACAAACCAAAACATTTTGCTTGATGGAATAAGCTTGGCATACTAGTGTCAAGCTAATGAAGTAGACAGTTTTTCTGAATGTATTGCTGCTTTGTTAGTAACTTTGTTTTTTGTGTAGTATTAACTTAGTGATGTTTTTCATCTGGATTCATATGTTATAGCCTGAGGTGTCCTGTCTTTTCTGGCTTGCTCAGCCTTAAATTCTATATAGAATTGCTTTATCCTCTTAAATGTGAATATAGAGTTGGGTTTGTGTAGTGGAAGGATGAGTGGGATTCGCGGACAGTCTTGTAAATAAAATGTTGTGGGCAGATCCATTTGCTTTATATTTCCTCATTGTTCATCTGCTTTTAATAAAGGTTTTCAATCCTATGTATTCAAGTAATATTTATACTTCCTATCTGCAGTAGTGAGACATATAGATAGATTTCAAATTTGTTTTTATGCAGCTACTGTAAATAGCGGAGTATGTGTTTATATATTTGGGAGACAGGCAGCAGAAGGTATAGTGTAAATGAAGGATCATTCATTTAGAAGTTCCTGATGAGTATGGAATCTAATTTTTATAGACTGAGGTAGAATTTTAATAGAAAAAGAAACAATTACCTTAGTCTCCCTCAGCTGGTTCCCTAAAGAACCACCTTGTTACAAAAGTGACCAAGTCCAAAAAAGGCCCAGTTTATTAATATCTAAACTGATATGCATAGTCCAGTGAGACTTGGGTAATGTACAGGATACAATACAAATTACGTAAATTGTGTGCTGTGTAAAAATATTTAGCTTTTTTGTTTTATATATGTTTTTTAAGGTGTGTATTCATGTATATCAATATACACAGTTTATTGGTCAGTATTTGATTTTTCATTATTCATAGTATATAAAAAAATTCCAGGCAATTGAGTAGACCCTTTTACAGAGCAGAAAACATCAGTGGAGAAAGGAAGAATGTTTTCTAAAACACATTTTTAAAATGTGGAGAGTGTTAGAGGACTAATATAAACTAATAGAACTAATATAACTAATAGAAAACACATCTTGTTGTGTGTTTTCTGGAATTTTTTTTTTTTTTTTCAATAAAATGCTGCTTCTGACTCTTTATCTGGTCTGTTTGTGTTTAATAACATAGTTTTCTCTAGATAAACACAATGCATCCAGACATCTGGTGTTATAAAATAGAGTTCCATTAAAAAACCTAAAAGTTCTTCTACACGTCTGTAGAAGTCCTGCATTTCTCAGTGCTTTTCTAACAAGCGTACTTGAGGGACCCTTTGCCTTCTCTGGCTGCTTGAGCACATTATCTCTACAGAAGTTTTGACTTCTGTTGAGGTTTCCCACATGCTGCTGTTTATTGTGAGTGTGAGACCTCAGTCTGGTCTGTCACTTGCTAGAAGATTATTTATTCAGGGAGTTTTGGTTCCTAAGTAAGGTGTGCATATCTGGTGACACACTTTGGCTCACTTTCTATCGTAGCAGCAGTAGCAAATAATAAATGGTATTTAATGATAACCACTACAGTTAGACATTTTTTATCTCATGTTAGCAATGGCAGTTTTTTTTATCTGACTCTGATACAAATTAACAGTCCTTTAAAGTGTTAATGAAAACTATGAAAAGAAACTGGTAAGAGAAGCGAGAAGCTTTTTTTTTTTTCTTCTTGCCTTCTGTTGTTAAGTGCTATATAAACACCAGTAGACCATAGTTTCTGTTGCAGTTTAGCTCATTAATTCTTTTGGTTGCTTTTTTTAAAAAAAAAACACATTTTTTCAAAATGACATAAAATAACACTGAAGGACTGACTTAACTCAGTAACACGAGGATGAGAATTTATCTCGGCTTACTGGGCCCAGTTCAGGACTCGTGGGGTGGAAGCAGCTCCTCTTTTATGACTAGCAAAAATAGGTACAGAATCTGAGCATAGAGTAAGTCTGAAGTGGATTTAAAAATATTTTGATAATCAGCTGTAATAACTAAATGTCAGAGCAATGTGCCTTTCCAAAGTCCCATTCTGCAATTATTAGTAATACACAGTAATTACTGTGCTTGATTCTACCTTCATTTTCAATAGACTTTTTCTTTCATGTTTACATAGTTAGAAGAATGCATATTGTCTTGCTTTCAGATGTCTAAATTGGAGGCTGAAATGTTTGATGTGCATATATCCCTTTCTCTCTCAGCCTGTCATTCATGGTTGTGAACTCCGGCTGAAATGTCAGAACCATACAGTGAACAAACCTATCCTGAGCCGTGACTCAGGAATGCTGTGTGACCTTGTGCATTTCAAGCAGTTGATGCTGATGCTCTGTTTATCACTTTAGAGTTTTACTGGTGTAAATAAAGTTTTGGAGTAGCCCTACTTGTAGTGCAAAATGTAGCTGCTTAGTTAAGAATTCAATTTGTTACGAGCCAGGAAAACAAGAAACATCTCTCTCTGTTGGGGTCCTGTGAGGCAGCTTATCATAGGAGGACAAATGCATGATTCAGAATCCAAGTGCATTCTTGCTGTAGTGTATTTTTCCCTGTTGCGGCATCATCCATTCTTGTTACAAATAGTGTAATATGAAGGCCCATATTTTTGCAGTGAGGTTTCAACATTCAGCATAAAAGATCTGGCTGCTTCTGTGCATCCTGTTCATGCTGACTTTGTACTCAGGGATTCTGAAATACCATTTGCCCTGACAGCAGCTGCATGTGAGTGGAAGATCTTGCGTGAGTTAGTTTGTTGTGCTCTGCCCAGGAGATTAAGGGGAAAAGAAAGGTATTTGCAAAGGACCATTACTCATTTCCTCCTTCACCCCCTCTCACAAGGTGGGATTATTTTACTATTGCTTCTCCTCTTTCTCCCCATAGGAAGTCAAAATAAGCAGCTCAGACTAATACTTAGCTTTTTAGATGGGTATAAGTAGAACAGCTAAAGTTTTCTCAGAAAGAAAACTAGTGATTGACCTTCCGAACGGTTTAAAGGAATCCTTTATGAAATTAATCTGTACAAGCATGTTCAATCTGTGACTTCAGTCCAACAACAGGCGGTAACAGGAAGAGTTATTTCTATTTGTCAGGTTTTTCACAGTAGGACTTTCACCAAAAAATAAAGGAAGACAATATTTTCAGTGGTTGTGAAGGATGGTGATGTGTTGGCCTGCAGGGGATGGTGCAGCCTGTGGCCCTGTGCTGTGCCAGGGCCTGCACAAATGCAGAG